TGCATAAGTACTCCCTCAGCCTATGCCCCAAATCTCTGAGACACATCTAACCTCCCCGAACTTATTTTATATATAATTTTCTACCCCTTTTTGGCCTACGTGGTACTATTCTTGAAAAAATTGTCAACACGCGCTAGGCCCACAAGATAGTGCCACGTAGGCCGAAAAGGGGTAGAATATTATATATAAAATAAGTTCGGGAGGGTAATAGGACCTTAGTAAAGGTTAGGTGTCTCTCAGGGATTTTGGACATAGGCTGGGGGGTAATTATGCATTTTCCCTTGATAATATACTATCCATTTTTAACAACCCACCCTAATGATTTGACCCATTCGAGAAAGAGAATCGACCCAATTTTTTAATATCGGAGTCAATATATAAATTTTAAACCAATAAAGAATTATTTTGGTTGTTGAAATAATCATCATATTTTATTTTTTATAGTCTTATTCACACTTTGTCTAATCAAATTTTATCAGACAAAATTTGTCATTGTCATGTCAATTTTTTTGCTTTTCTGTTTTTCTCTTTGCTTTTTTTATCCATGTGCTACACATCATTTTTCAAGTAAAAAGACTATCATATAGAAAATAAATTCCCTCAAAAAGAAAACAAGATTAAAAAGAAATGCATAAACTTCTTCATTGAATACATTAATTTGCTTCTTCTTCTTTCCTCTGCATAATAATTTTGTGTTCCAATTCTTCAATGATTATTGCGAGCCATTTCGGATATTCAGCTGAAACCATGAAACATACCACATATAGTCCAATTTCATAGCTTATAATTGAGCAGCTTTTCAAAAAAATATTGAGAAATTCAGTATTGCTTTCTTGATCTTCAAGCACAGATATGGTATATATATATATAACTTGCCTCTGATAATAGATCACTGCCACAACCTTTCGAAACCGGGAATCCACGCAATTCATCATTACCTTCATATAAAGTTAATAATGGAAGAATAAAAAGTCTACTTATAAACCAAAAGCTGAAGTTTCTGATATTGTTGCATCTCTGATGAGCATTAATTCCAACAAATTGTTTATTTTTTTTTGGTAGAATGGAAAATCTACACATAATATTTTATTGAATACATTAAAATATTACATACTTGATATATCATCAATATTACATTTCCTAAAGTTAATAAAGGAAGAATAAAAAGCCTACTTATAAACCAAAAGCTGCAGTTTCAGATAGTATTGTATCTCTGATGAGCATTCCAACAAATTCTTCTCCAACCACCTGCATATTTGAATTTGTTTATTTACTGTCTGATGTTTATATTTACACAAAGAAAGTCAAGTCTTTATTATATGCTAAAATGAAATTACAATTTGAAAAAAAGTTATTATGTCTGGCGAATTTTGCTCTAAAACTAATTATCTGTTGGTTCACACTTGAAGCACTTGTTAAACCAAGCCTCTAACCAGATAACTGGATCACAGCTTCCAACTAATTTTGGACAGAAAAATAAGCTTTGTAGAGCATTCAATTAGTTTCTGATATAACTAATATGAAAATTCAGATATAGTTAGCTGCAATAATCTAAAGCTCAAACTAGAACTTAACTGCATATATACCTGAAGTTTTAACTCTTCTACATGCGATTATTTGCTTCTTCTGTTACTCCTTTGCCTTTGCTGCACTTCTTTCTCCTTCCAATCATTATTTTGTGTTCCAGTTCTACAATGATTCTTGCAAGCCATATCGGATTTCCAGTTGAGAACATGAAATATATTATCGATAACCCAATACATAGTCCACTTCCATACCCCATAAGAGCAGCTTTCCAAAAATCATTCAGAAATTCAGAGTCGCTTTCTTCATCATCTAGTCCAGATGTGGTATCATTTGTCTCCGAATCATTATCATCACTACCACGCCTTTTGATTGTGGAAATCCACGTAATCCATCATTACTTACATATGAATTGCTCTCAAAGGTCTGAAATTGATTTCCTTGAGGAATGCACCCTTCGAGATGATTGTAAGAGAGATTTAAGACTTCAAGAGAAGTAAGAGAAGCAAATTGTGCTGGTATCTCTCCTACAAAATGTTTACCTGAAAGGTCCAATGATTCAACTGAAGATAATCTTCCAAGTATGGCGGTATATGACCTCGCAGTCCATTATGAGATAAATTCAGCACACAAAGTGCAATGAGATCTCCCATAAAACTTGGAATATATCCTTCAAATTTGTTGTTTGAAAGATCAATAGTGGTGTACAAAAACAGGATTCTCACAATTTCATGCTCAAATCCCTTGGATACGACAGCTACCGTATCTTGATAATAATATCCATCTCCATCATCACTTGGTGCATTCATCGCTTGATCAATTGTCCTCATGGCTTTTAAATGTTGAAACAGACTCGTCAGTAAGTTTTCCGTGAAGGCATTGGAAGAGATATCCAACATTCGAAGTTCAATAAACATGTTTTCACTTCCTAAAGCTCTAATCGGTCCATGCAACTTATTCGATCTCAAGCTTAAAACTCTCAACTTAGGAAGAGTTCCCAACCACATCGGGAATGTTTCGTTGAGGTAATTATCTCCTAAATCAAGAACTTGCATCTCTTTGCAATTGACCAAAGATTGGGGAATTTTCCCCTTAAGTTTATTGCCATGCAAGTTGAAGCTTCTAAGTGTTCCAGCTCTAAAAGTTGTTGGAAGAGTTCCAGAAAGATTGTTGTGTTGCATATCCAGAACCTCGAGATGACCACTCATGTTGCCAAAACATTGCGGAATTTCTCCCGTTAGATTGTTTCTACCCAAATCTAGAATTTGCAGTGATGTTAAATTGCAAATAGACGGATGGCACTCTCCACTGAGATTATTATGTGGCATTATCACATACTGGAGGGCACTGATATTACCCAAGCATTGCGGATTTTTTCCTTTCAAGTTGTTTCTCGACAAATACAGGACTACCAGTGATGTTAAATTGCAAATAGATGAAGGAATTTCCTCAATCAGATTGTTTTCATGGAGAGACAGAGTATGCAAGTTTCTCAAATTCCCCAATGAAGCAGGAATAGAACCATTAAGAGAGTTATCGTACAACTGTAGATCAGTAAGAAACCTTAGATAATCTATTTCTTCAGGGATAGGGCCAGAAAGGTGATTACCATCAAGATACAAGACCGACAAGTTGTTCAAATTCCCCAATGAAGCAGGAATAGAACCATTAAGAATGTTATTGTTCAAACGTAGATCAGTAAGAAACCTTAGGTAACCTATTTCTTCAGGAATAGAGCCAGTAAGGTAATTACTACTAAGATGCAGAACAGACAAGCTGTTCAAATTCCCTAATGAAGCAGGAATAGAACCTTTAACAGAGTTACGGTTCAAACATAGATCAGTAAGAAACCTTAGGTAACCTATTTCTGCAGGAATGGAGCCAGAAAGGTTATTTTTACAAAGATTCAAACGAGACAAGCTGTTCAAATTTCCCAATGAAGTTGGAATAGAACCATGAAGTGCGTTAGAACTCAAATCTAGCTCAGTAAGAGACTTTAGATGACCTATTTCTTCAGGAATAAAACTATTTAAATGGTTGTCAATGATATGGAGGATCTGAAGCTTGGCTAGTGAGCCGATTTGTGGTGGTACTGTGCCTGAAATCTGATTACTCGACAAATCAAGATAGATAAGATTAGTGAGTTTACCAATTTCAGGTGGAATGGTGCTAGAGAAATGGTTCATGCTAAGATCAAGATACTCAAGAAAAGGGAGAGATGAGAATGGAAAATCATCAAGTGTACCAATGACACTAGTATTTCTAATATTCAACTTGTTTACCTTACCGTTAAAGCATATAACTCCGTACCAGTCCCTGCATGCATTAGAACTTGGCTTCCATGAAGCCAATAAGAAATTATCCCAGTTCTTAAAAGTTGTTTTCCATTTCAAGAGGGCAGTTGCTTCTTCGATGGAAGCAAAAGTAACTGTAAGGAGATATAAAACAGTGAAAAACTGAAGTAGAGAGAATATTTTGCTTGGAATCATCATCATATTTTGAGTTTGTTATTATTTTGGGTTTTCAATGAACTTATTGTGGAGGGTTTATAGGATTTTATATTGTATGAAATTTATCATTGAAGACCAAATGGAAACGTGTTTTCTCCAAATGTTGTTGGCTGCTCTTTCTCTCTTTCACACTTAAATCATTTCTGTCTGTTCATATGTAATTCTAATCCATGTGTTACACATCTATCATACAGAAAATAAATTCCCTAAAAAGGAAAACAAACTTAAAAAGGATAGAGAATCATCTGTTTTAGTTTTGTTATTAAAATAGAATTGTATGTTGTGTTACTTTCTCATTTACCTCCATCACAAAATTTTGAGGATAATTTCACCGATGGTCATTTCTAAATTAACTCTTCATAACAATACGAGCTATTTATCAAACTTACTCTTTGTAACTGTTTTTGTAACAATAAAACCATTAAACTATGAGTTATTCCCCTGAAAATACCAAATCACTGAAACCAGGGGCGGAGTTTAGGTGAAAAAAGGTGAATTTTTCCCCTAAACTATTCCTATACCCCTCAAATAGTAATAATGTCATTTTTAAGAATGGGTATCTTGATTTTTTTTTCTCAAAATGTGCACTTTTACCTGACATCGTATGTGATTTATGTACGTCTAGTACAAACCTCAGCTAGCGGACGTCTGGCATATGGCGTAAGCAGCAAATCCCATTCTGCAAATGCAACTTACACAAGAAATGCAACTTAAGAAACACATTCCAGAAGTTCAGTACAGTGTACTCAATAGGTAATACAGATTACGAAGCCATTACTCTCAAAGGAAAACCATCACAAACAAGTGCAGAAACAACAACAAGAATAGGTGAAGAAACGATCAACTCATCCCACATACGTATTTAAAAGATAAAACAGTCATGAACGATATTATCAGTTGCTTATTGCAACCAATTACTTGCCATTCCGAATAAAATAGTTCATTATCAATCTCGCCACTGTGACATCATAACTGATTATTTCTTTTTCTGTAATTCCTTTGCCTTCGCTGCTTCTTTCTCCTTCCCATCATTATTTTGTGCTCCAGCTCTACAATGATTCTTGCAAGCCACATTGGTTTTCCAGTTGAAATCATGAAATATATTATGGATAGTCCAATACATAGTCCACTCCCGTAGCCCATAAGAGCACCTTTCCAAAAATCATTCAGAAATTCAGAATTGCTTTCTTCATCGTCTAGTCCAGAAACGGTATCATTTGTCTCTGATACTGAATCATCACCACAGCCTTTTGAAAGTGGGAATCCACGTAATCCATCATTACTTTCATATGAATTGTTCTCAAAGGTCTGAAATTGATTTCCTTGAGGAATGCACCCTTCGAGATGATTGTAGGAAAGATTGAAGACTTCAAGAGATGTAAGAGAAGCAAATTGTGCTGGTATATTTCCTACAAGATGGTTACTTGACAGGTCCAATGATTCAACCAAAGATAAACTTCCAAGTGATGACGGTATATGACCTTCCAATCCATTATGTGATATATTCAATATGTGAACTGCAATGAGTTCCCCCATGATACTTGGAATCTGCCCTCCAAATTTATTACTTGAAAGATCGATAACGGTGTACAAATACAAGATTCTCACAATTTCACGCTCAAATCCCTTAGATACGACAGCTACCGAGTCTTGGTAATATCCATCAGTTCCTTCATAATGTGGTGCGTTCATAGTTTGATCAATTGTCCTCATGGCTTTCAAATGTTGAAACAAACCCGTTGGTAAGTTTTCTGTGAAGGCATTGGAAGAGAGATCTAACATTTGAAGATTAGGAAATATGTTTTCAATCGTTGGAGTTCTAATGGACCCATGCAATTCATTGGATCTCAAGCTTAAAACTTGCAGCTTTGGAAGAGTTCCCAACCACATCGGGAATATATCAATGAGATGATTATCTCCTAAATCAAGAACATGCAACTCTTTGCAATTGGCCAAAGATTGGGGAATTTTCCCCTCTAGTTTATTTCCGTGCAAGTTGAGGCTTCTCAGAGAACTTCCAAATCTAAAAGTTGTTGGAATAGTCCCTGTAAGACTGTTGTGGTGCATATCCAGAACCTGGAGGCTACTGATATTACCCAAACATTGCAGAATTGCTCCCTTCAAGTTGTTTCTCGCCAAATCTAGCATTACCAATGATGTCAAGTTGCAAATAGATGAAGGAATTTCTCCACTAAGATTATTTTCTGATATGAAGAAGTATGTTGTGGAATTTGGTGGCATAGATAGGGACCCTTGAAGAGAATTGGATCGCAAATCAATTGTTTTTAGAGATTGAAAAGGAGTTAAGTCCACACTTGTCAGCATGTTGTGGGATAGATTAAGACTGTTCAATGAAAACATCCAGTTAGATGATGCCCAATCTGGAAATCTTCCTTGAAGCTTATTATTAGAAAGATCCAAGTGCTCAAGCTTCTTTGCGGATCCTAGAAACTCCAATTCTTTCACTTCACAGGCAGCCAACTGTAAGTACACAAGTGATTCAGGCAAAGTAAAATTAACTTTGTTTTCATTTGTGAATGAGATACTATTATATGAAATACCAAGAGATGAAAGATGTTTGAGGTCTGAAAAGAAGCTGACATCCACACTACCACTTAAATTATTGAAAGAAAGATCAAGAGTTGTGAGGTTCACAAGGTTTTGAATTGACTCGGGAAGATGGCCTTGCAGCTGATTATTGCCTAGATCAATAGATAATAGTGAATTGGACTTGATATCCTCAAGCTTACCAGAAAAATGGTTATTACTCAATTCTAAATCAGTTAGTGAAGGAAGGGAGAATATCGATGATGGTATTGTTCCATTTAGGAAGTTACCTGCAAGGAACATATACTCTATGCGAGTGAGATTAGAAAGAGATTCAGGAATAGGCCCCCAGATATTGCAGAAAATAAGAAACAAATTATTCAGTGACGTTAGATAACCAAGAGACTCAGGCAAATAACCAGAAAAATTCACTCCTTGGAGATTTAAATCTGTGAGAGATACGCTGCTGTTCCATTTGGTCTTTGGGAAATAACCATTGAGTTGATAATTGATGGATAAGTCAAGTATTTTTAGTTTGGGGAGGTGAAAAATACTCTCCGGTATTACTCCATACAACTCTGAATGCCCAAGCACCAGCGTTGTAAAATGAGAAGAAAAATTAAGAGGAATGGTGGAAGAGATGCTTACACCACTAAGATCAAGCACTCTTAATAGGGTCAAATTATGAAGGAGCAACCTAAAATCATGGGCTGCGAGTCTTTGCACAGTGTTATAAGATGTCGAGAGAAGAAGAGATTGTAACTTGTAAAGATGAGAGATTTCAGAAGGAATTTGACCTGAGAAATAGGAGTCAGAAAGATCAAGATATGTCAAGCTCGAGAACCTGCCAAATTCAGGCAGGATGTTGGAATTAGAGAAGTTATTCACAGAAAGATCAAGCCTTTGGAGATGAGAGAGTTGGAATAGGCTGCTATTGGAATCAATCTTCCCTACAAGACTGTTGCAACTGAGATCAAGTTCAATGACATGGCCAGTCATCTCATCGCATAGCACTCCATCCCACGAGCAGCAATCTATGCTCATATTCCATGAACTTGTATAATCGTAGAAATTACACAAAACTAATGAGGGATCAACAGTAAGAGTTTTCTTGAATTTTAGAAGAGCAGAGCTTTGATCTTTGCGGCACAGATGAGGTATGGATGAAGAAAAAGAAAGCTGACAGAAACAGACAAAGAGCAAAAACGAGAATTGCCCGTAGCCCATGTTTAGCATCAATGAGTTTAAAGTTGATAGTGAAAATCAAGAACAGGCTACAGAAATATATATAGTCTGATATATATTTAACAAGGACTCTTTCTTTTTGAATAATTTGAAACTTGAAACATCATATATAGTTAAGCATTAACGGCCTTGATTGAAATGCCTAGGTAGGTATTCTTTTTAACATATATATTTATCATATTTTGAATCCCCTTAGTAAAAATCTTGTTTTAAATTGGCCGTATTATTAGTCTAGTCAAGTATAAGAAGACAAATAAGTAGGACAACATTACTTTCAAATCGGCCGTGTTTTGTATTTGTCTAAAGAAAATAAATTTTCTTTTGTGAGAGCTGAATTAGTTCCTTCATGGAAATCAATTTGAAGCTTATATTTTGATGAAAATATTTTAAGTCAAAGAAAAAGACTATTTTGTTGGAAGTTTTTGTTGTTTCTCAAGTCTTGCATAAGAAACCAAATAAGTAGGAAAACATTACTTTCAAATAAGTCTTCTTTCAATCAACAGAAGCACTTGAGTTAAATATATTTTATTTCCATAGTCAAGAAAAGACTGCTGCCTTCATATCAACTTTTTTTCAGATAAAAGAAAACAATATATAGGTTCTAAAGGTGATTACTTCTTCTGTTGTTCCTTTGCCTTCGCTGCGTCTTTCTCCTTCCCATCATTATTTTGTTCTCCAGCTCTACAATGATTCTTGCAAGCCATATCGGTTTTCCATTTGAAATCATGAAATATATTATTGATAATCCAATACATAGTCCACTTACATACCCCATAAGAGCAGCTTTCCAAAAGTCACTAAGAAATTTAAAATCGCTTTCTTCATCGTCTAGAGCAGATTCAGTATAGTTTGTCTCTGACACCTGATCATTGCCACAACCTTTTGAAATGGGGAATCCGCGTAATCCATCATTACCTTCATATGAATTATTCTCGAATGTATGAAATTGAGGTCCTTGAGGGATGCATCCTTGGAGATGATTGTGGGAGAGATTTAAGAATGCAAGAGATGTAAGAGAAGCCAGTTGTGGTGGTATCTTACCCGAAAGTTGGTTAACGGATAGATCCAATGATTCAATTGAAGATAAATTTCCAAGTGATGATGGTATCTGACCTTGCAATCCATTATGAGATAAACTCAGCACATGAAGTGCAACGAGATCCCCAATAATACTTGGAATTTTCCCACTAAATTTATTATTTGAAAGATCAAGAGCGGTGTACAAATACAAGATTCTCACAATTTCACGATCTATTCCCTTGGTTGCAATTGTAATAGAATCTTGGTAATATGATTCTATGTAAGATGATCTTGGTGCCTTCAATGATTGGTCAATTGTCCTCATGGCTTTCAGATGTTGAAACAGACTTGTAGGTAAGTTTCCCGAGAAGGCATTGTAAGAGAGATCGATGATGCGAAGCTGGGGAAACATGTTTTCTATCCTTGAAGTTCTAATAGATCCATGCAACTTGTTTGATCTCAGGCTTAAAACTTGCAGATATGGCAGAGTTCCCAACCACATGGGGAATGTGTCGTTTAGGTGATTATCGCCTAAATCAAAAACTTGCAACGCTTCACAATTGGCCAAAGATCGAGGGATTTTCCCCTCTAGTTCATTTCCACGCAAGTTGAGGCTTCTAAGTTCACTTACGATTCCAAAAGCCATTGAAAGAGTCCCAGAAAGATTGTTGTTGTGCATATCCAAAACCAGGAGGCCACTGATATTACCGAAACATTGTGGAATTGCTCCCATCAAGTTGTTTCTCGCCAAATCTAGAAGTTGCACTGATTTCAAATTGCAAATAGATGAAGGAATTTCCCCACTAAGATTATTTTCTGATATGAAGAAAAATGCTGTGGAATTCCCTGGAATAGGTAGTGACCCTTTAAGAAAATTGGACCGCAAATCAATAATATATCCAGATTGAAGAGGAATTGAGTCCATGCTTGTCAGCATATTGTGGGATAGATTAAGATTTGACACTGAAAAATTCCAAGTAGACCATGCCCAATCAGGAACTCTTCCTTAAACCTTATTATTTGAAAGATCCAAGTCAGATAGCTTCTTTGCGGATCTTAGAAACTCCAATTCTTTCACATCACATGCAGCCAAACGTAAGTACTCAAGTGACTCCGGCAAACTAGATTTAACTTCCTTTTCATTAGTCAATGAGATACTGTTGTATGAAAGACTAAGATACGAAAGCTGTTTGAGGTCTGAAAAGAGGCTGACATCCACACTACCACTAATATTATTGAAAGAAAGATCAAGATATTTTAGGTTCACAAGGTTTTGAATTGACTTGGGAAGATGGCCTTGCAGCCGATTGCCCTGTAACTGAATCCAGACTAGTGTATTGGACTTGAAATCCTCAAGCTGACCAGAAAATTGGTTAGAACCCAAGCTTAAATAACTTAGTGATGGAAGGGAGAACATCCCTGATGGTATTGTTCCATTCAGGGAGTTACCATCAAGGTACAAAGACTCTATGCGGGTGAGATTCGAAATAGATTCAGGAATAGGTCCTCTAAGGTTGCAATTTCCAAGAGACAAAGAATGTACCAATGTTAGATATCCAAGAGACTCAGGCAAATTACAAGAAAAATTCACGCCACTGAGATCTAACCCTACGAGAGATGCATTGATGTTCCATTTGGTCTTTGGAAAATAACCACTTAGCTGATAATTGCTGGATAAGTCAAGTATTTCCAGGTTGGGAAGGTGAAAAATACCCTCAGGTATTATCCCGTACAATCCTGTGTCTTCCAGCCCCAGAGTTGTGAAATGAGAAGAAAAATTCAGAGGAATGGTGGAATAGATGTCCACGTAAGTAAGATCAAGCTCTCTTAATTGGGTCAAATTCTGAAGGAGCAATTTAAAATTGTGAGGTCCAACTCTTAGGTCTGAGAGATGAAGAGATTGTAACTTGGAAAGATGAGAGATTTCAGAAGGAATTTGGCCTGAGAAAAATGAGTTGGTAAGATTAAGATGTGTCAAGCTCGAGAACCTGCCAAATTCAGGAGAGATGTGAGAATTTAAGAAGTTATTCCAAGAAAGATCAAGCCTTTGGAGATGAGAGAGTCGGAATAGGCTGCTATTGGAATCAATCTTTCCTACCAGACGGCTACAGCCGAGGCCAAGTTCAATGACATGGCCAGTCATCTCATCGCATATGACTCTATCCCATGAGCAACAATCTCTGCTCATGTTCCATGAACTCATATTTGGATAATAGTAGGAAATACACCTTTCTGATGAAGGATCTACAGTAAGTGTTTTCTTGAATTTTAGAAGGGAAATACTTTCATCTTCATGGCACCGATGAGGTATGGATGAAGAAAAAGAAAGCAGACAGAAACAGAAAAAGAACAGAAATGAGAATTGCTGGAAGACCATTTTTCGCATCAAAGTGTTCAGAGTTGATAGTGAAATCAAGAAAAAGTTTTGTACTGATTAAGAGGGTCTGTATTTTGATAGTAATATATAACACATAAAAATAATTGAGTTAAAAGTACTATTTGTGGTAAGCTAATTGTGAAATTCACACTTGATTTAATGAAGGCAATGCCTTTAATGAATGGACGACTTCAAAAGTCAATGGAATTAAAGCATTTCTAGAAACAACTTAAATACTGGTATTGTTTTTCAAAGTCTTGTAGTGGAAATTTCAAATGAAAGTGTACATGTTCACATACTACTGTGCCTATAATGAAAGTTATGGATGTGGTTTAATGGTCAATGAAGTCGGTGACAACCAAAAGAGACCAGTTTCTATGATATTTAGAATGCAATGACATTAACTCAATTACCGTTATATGTTTTTGTGAATGGAAAATTTATTGCCACTAAATGTTCAATGGAAAACATATTCGTCTCCCTTCATAGAACAGATAATGACCTGTTTTTGGCTCCAGGAGAGCAGAGATGTCAAATTTGTGTCAGCAGGAATGCATTGATGAGAAGATTTAAGTGTTCCTACCTTGTTTCACTTGATGATAAATGGAAAAATTACGTGATGTTGCTGAGAAGATGCAATAAACTGCATAAAAATTTGTAAATTATACAGTTCACTGAAACAAGAAATGCCTAAAAGTCGCTGGAAGAGTCCCAAAAAGATTGTTGTGTTGCATATCCAGAACCTCAAGATGACCACTCATGTTTCCAAAACATTGCAGAATTGCTCCCTTTAGATTATTTCTACCCAAATCTAGAATTTGCAGCGATGTTAAATTGCAAATAGACGGATGGAGCTCTCCACTGAGATTATTATTTGACATCATCACATACTGGAGGGAACTGATATTACCCAAGCATTTCAGAATATTTCCTTTCAAGTTATTTCTCGACAAATACAGGGTTACCATTGATGTCAAATTGCAAATAGCTAAAGGAATTTCCTCAATCAGATTGTTGTCATTGAGAGACAGAACTTGCAAGTTTCTCAAATTCCCCAATGAAGCAGGAATAGAACCATTAAGAGAGTTATCGTACAACTGTAGATAAATAAGAGACCTTAGGTAACCTATTTCTTCAGGAATAGGGCCAGAGAAGTAAGCAAATCTTGATGAAGATTTGAAGTTCGTAATCTTGTTACTAACCTTATTATCAAATGCTTCTCTATTATTTTTTTTGGCTTCCCATCCAGTGTCCGGAGCCCACATTGGAGCTGCCCTATTATTACTTGTTGAGAAATTTGAAAGTCCAGGTGTGAAATCAAATATCAATCTATGAAAATGACTTTAATAAATTCATGAGTTTAATTGCCTTTAATATATCTCAATAGTAAATTATTTTTGGGCTTTAATAAGATAAAAGCTAGTTGAGAAGAAATTATGAACTCTGTTTTTATATTATCTTTTAAAAAAAACAATTATTTTATAAAATAAATTAAATCCTTTTGTCCTTTTATTAAACTAAACTCTATGATGGAAGTTGTAGAAATGATAGATATGGAGGTGAAGGCATTGTAAGAGACAATGAAGACAGCTTAATCATAGCTTACTCACTATCTTATGAAAAGGGTTTCAACAATTAGCTTTTATATATGCAATGTCTTGATGCATCAATAATAATTTTCAACAAGTTTGGACATAAACTGATTCAAAGCTCCTTGCAGAGTGCATTAAAGGAAAACTCACCATTTCTTAGACAATGATTGGGAAAGTATAAAAGTTTAAATCAATGCTAATTCATAGCGAAAGTTATGTACGTCGTTGTTACAAGGAGTATAATCAAGCTGCGGATAAATTGACATTACTAAGTTATAACTCTGTCAACAACATTATATACTCTGTTTATGTTGAATGACATATAGAGATTAAATGCCTAATATCATTTGATAGGTGAGGCCTCCCAACTATGAAAGTTTACAATAGTTTTTACTTTTTACCTTCAATCCAGCTGACACTTTGTATTCTTAGCTTCCGTAAAGCTGATAACAATTGCATTAAGATATAGTATAAGTATGCTCATCTTAAAATTATTAAGCTAGACCATTTTTTATTAAAAAGAAAAAAATCGATCAGGCAGCTACCTTAAATCATATGTAATAACGTTTGGAAAATGAATAAAATGTTATCTTTAAAAAATATTACTATATATGTTTACTCCAAATGATAGATTATTAGAACTTTCTATGATTTATATGCATATTGTATCAAGAACAATTGTATATTAGTTGCTAAATTTAAAATATTCATTCAAATTAATAATGATCTTCTAAGATTGAAGTTAATATGTCTAATTGACACTTTATAAAGTATAGAGTCTTATATGTAGATAAAAATTATTTTAATGATAATCGATTCCACCTCTGATACCACAATTGTAATTATTAGCTTGAGGATGGACTAAACTAAAAAATTGAAACTTATACTAGTATAAATATAAAGTTATGAGCCCTTAATCAAATGTAGGGTTTGCTTTCTAATATCACATCCTTAAAGAACAAAACGACTTACGATCTGATTTGAAAGACAAGACCAATAATCATGAAGACAAGACGGAGAGTTGCCATGACACTTATGGATTCAGGTATACTTTTGCATCCAATTGTGATTTTCTAATAATTTGACATGGTAGTTCTTGAGTAAAAACTATCATTTTTTTCTCTTGAAGTTTGGTCCTAACAACAACACCAATCACCTTTGCCATCACAACTATCATCATCACTATTTCTTGTCATTACCACCATCACCACTACAAGTCATCTTTTCCCATCACTATCAAACTTAAATGTTTTATTTTATAAAATGAAATAATAATTTCAAATTTATTGAATTTCATTTTCTCACGATATAATTATTTTTTATTAGAATTATATATTTATGCATTTACAAATAGATAAATTATGCATATTTAACAAAGGGTCTAACCCATCGGTGGCCCCCTAAACTTGGCACGAAGTTTCACTTAGGCACCTCAAGTGGGCGATGTTCATTTTAGACACCTCATGTAGGGTCTCGCTATGTCATTTTGACACTTTTTGCTGACTAAGCATAGTACGTGTGCTACACGAATTTTGAGCGCGTCAGAGACTTTTTTTGTAAATATTCTAAAATTTTTTGTAAATATTTTCTTCTCCTTCTTCTTCCTTGCTTTCTCCTTCCATCTTCCCCACCTTCTACCATCCTCCATCACCACACAACTTTTTTTAAAAATTCTACAATATTTTACTAGGTTACACTCTTTGATTCTTCCATCTTCTTTGAAAATCGAATTTGCATCTTGATTCATATTCAAAAACAAAATCGATTTCAAGGGAACAAAAAAAGAAATCAACTTCTTTCAAATGAAAAAACTGATTTACATTCTTACCTTCTCCATTGAAAATTAAATTGATTTCAAGGAATAAAAAAGAAATAAAGAACAACCTCCAATGAAAAAAGAAGAAATTTATTTTACATATCCTTCATTGTAAATCCCAATCGTAGTAGCACAAAAAATCATTTTCTTTTAAATGTCATATAAAAACTTTTCGATTTGGTATGATTTCCCTTATTTTCCAAAACGTATTTTACTATGTAAACTAACCTATGTTCTTGCCTTTTTGATGGAGAAGAACATATGAAGGGGAAGGAGGCGCAAGAAGAAGAAGAAAAGAGGTGGGGGAATGGGGTTTGGGATCTGGAAGAAAGAAAAAAAGAAAGTAAAATTGAGATTTTTAAAAATAAAATAAAATTTCCTCGTGTCACATACCAATTCGTTTATTTTTCCACATAAGAGGCGTCTGGATGTACGTACTTAAAATGTGATTTTGAAAAAATAAAAAGTGTCAAAATGACACAATGAGGTTTGACATGAGGTGTTTAAAATGAACAAAGCCTAGTTAAAGTATCCAAGTGAAAGTTGGTGCCAAGTTTAGGGGGCCACCGATAGGTTAGCTCTTTAACAAAGAGCTTTATAAAGCTTTCGTCTCAATTCATATTTAACCTAGCCGCGAGCAAATCTATGTTTGTGATCTCGTATATTTCGCTTCTCCGGCATCTTACTGAGTTTTCCCCTGACACTCCACGGAGGTAAAGTTTCATCTTGTGTGTTGACCAAAGTTACAATAGTAACAATGAACCCTTGAATTAATTTTAAGCATTCAATATTCAGATTTATAAGCACAACATCATTTTAGATTCGCACATCTTAGAGCCCATTTAAATGAGTTTATAAGTCAAAAATAATAATTCATCAATTAAAAATTTAAATTTCTGATTCTTAATTTTAAAATATTCTAATTTAATATAAGTCAATGTACACAAAAAAATAAATTCTATTATAAAAGTAGTTAAATTTTTTATTATTTTTAATTTATTGATATATGGATTGTAGTACATTCACATGACATATATCCGGATTATGACTTATTAGTATCTTATATTCCGGATATGCATTATCTATATATTCAAAAAGTTAATCGAATCCTACTAAACTTCCAATCTAACGGCTGTAAAATACACTAAAGGCCCACTAATTTAATCTACACCTTTAAAACCAAAAAATAAAAATAAAAAAAGAAAGCAGAAAAGAATTTAATTCGAAAAAAAGAAAAAAAAATATCTCAATTCTCCAAATCCCCAAAAAAATAATTCATGGAGCCGAATGAAACTAGTGGACTGAATTCTTACTACCACCACCTCCACCACCAACCGCCGCCGTCACAACCACCGCAAAACCCTAACCCTACCACTACCACCACCAATGGAATTGTACCAAATAACAACCCTACCGCTACCGCTAACACCACAGTCGCCGCCGCTTCTCATATGGTGTACACTGGTTCGCTTCCGTCCGCTGTATCGCCGCCTATGGAGAGTGTGAAGAGAAAGCGCGGGAGACCTAGAAAGTATAGCACGCCGGAGCAAGCTGCTGCTGCTAAGCGGCTGTCGTCGGCTTCGACTCCGCCTAAAAAGAGGGATCATGGTTTGAGCCATGTTGCTGGAGCAGACGGTGGTGGTAGTTCTTCGAAGAAATCTCAATTGGCTGCGTTGGGTTAGTTTATCTCGTTATCTTCATCACGCGCTTGTACGCGCCACTGTTGGAATTTTGTTTTGTTTGAAGTTTGAACTGAGAATTTTTAAAAATCTGGTCTTTGGTGAGGATAAGATACATTATATATACAAGAGGGCACATAAGCACATGCTATGTATATAAAATAAAAGCATTTGTATTCAGTATCTTATTTTAAGGCTCAGTTTATTGAATACTTTATTCTTGTGTTGGACCTCCTACTCCTCCACTTCTATTTTCTTTTTTTTTTCCCTTCCTTAAACTGAAGTTTTTTAAAAATGTGATCTTGCATGGTTTGTATACAGTAGAAAATATGTTACCTTATCCATTTTATGTTACCTATTTCTTAGTTCTTATTAATGACATTGATGGATAATAGAGGAAGATTTTACTCGGTAAACAAAGAGGCAATCTAAGAGAGATATGCATGACATCACAACTTGCCTCTAAAGTTGACTTCTTTACACCATTAGTATGCTTTGCTTTTGATTTAGATGTCTATGCATAAACAGGTTTGTTCTCTCTTGTTTTATCCTGGCCCCTGCTCGAATGCGGTGGGACAAGGGAGGTTATGGGATGCGTAATTGGAAGAGCTTAAATTATTTTTCTTCATATATTTACATAGTGATTATGTTTAAACTGTCAGCTAGTGTACTCTGTATCCAATATTTAAAAGGCCTAGTTACTGTTGCTTAAGGCGTGGAAGGGTGTCTACTTTACTCAATTCTATCCTATTGGTTTCTGCAGGTAATGCTGGTCAAGGTTTTACACCTCATATCATCACCGTGTCTGCTGGAGAGGTATGTTCAGAAATTTTCTTCCAAATTCTCTAATAATTCCTCTCATTATGCAAAGTTCACCGTGCTTGAGTTGATGATAAATGATGATTCCTTCCATATACTTTTATCTGTTTCTGATAGGTAGTTTCACTTTAGGTATCTTGTTAATTCTCAAAAATGTTCTTGAAGGAAGAGAACTTTTTCTTTTTGAGCAAATAAATTGGATAAGGGATCAAATAAGTTGTAAATAGATAGGACAGTTTATCAACTTTACCTTTTTTCAAAATAAAATTAAATTAGATAGGACAGTTTATCTTTTGTTAAAGAAGTCGTATACGAAGCTTAGACTTGTGGAGTAGGGAAACTAGGATAGAAGATATAAA